CAATAGGAAAGCAAACCATGCAATTGCTACAGCTTCCCCACTTATTGCATGCCATTTATTTTACAAGGCCTCTACATTTTTAATCGTTCTTCTGCTGCAGAACTTTGCAGTTAAATGCATCACTGCCTTGCAGGAGTTCTTGGCATAGGTGAAGCTGTGGGTTTTAGTAGCTGGGGAGAGGACAGGTGAGGTGTTTGGCACCTGGGAAGGTGTGGTGGCAAACGGCAATAAACATAATAGTAAGTATACCAATAGGTAACTAACTAGTTAACAATAGTTTAATAGCTGACACTGATTGTGTCATCATTAGTTTTCAGAGTTAACCGCCCCCTGATATGAACAAGGCAGTTCACCTCTCCTGTGTTTTGGTTTCAGGCTGTCTGCAGGCTCTGTGGGGGGAGGGATAGGAACTTCAATCCCCGCCCCCCAGAAATACCTGAACTGGTGCCACTGGCAAGCATGATTGCGTCAGTTACGTCTGAGTGATGAACTTTGCAACCATAAGGCCTAGAAACATTTTATTTACATGAAGGAACAAGAAGCCAAACATTCCCCAGCTGCAGAATCACGGTGCACCTGAGCCTCAAAAGCAGGTAGGCAAGTAACCGGTAGGATCAATTTCCAGCACGAACGCACAATCCCAAACACCAGGCAGGTGCTAGACTCCTTGGCCAAAATTCCCCAAGGGCGGCTTGATTCTCAATAGTTTATCATACCCTGGCCATCCCCATCGTCTTCGGTTCTCTCCCACAGGAGCCAGTCAATCCCACAGGAATCAGTGGGAGTTCCTCCTGTCCCAAGGGGAGACACTGGGCCCCGGCTGTGCAGCGTGACGGCTGGCTGGTGCATTTCAACAGCACCAAACCCAGCTCTGGTTTGCAGATCGCCCAGGGGGACAACAAGAGCTAGAGGGACCAACGACCCTCCTCAGTGCCTGCTTCACTGCCTACTCCCAGCTCTCTCCCACTAAGAGCTGGCAATGTGAACAAAGAATTCAGTTTTTCCACTGAATGCATCCGATGAAGTGAGCTGTAGCTCACGAAAGCTTATGCGCAAATAAATTGGTTAGTCTCTAAGGTGCCACAAGTCCTCCTTTTCTTTTGCGAATATGGACTAACACGGCTGCTACTCTGAAAAGAATTCACTGAAACTCAGACCGACATTGACATTTGACAGGCACCACTTCACCATGGGACCATCCCAGATAACAACAGCTTCCCAGGCCCGGTAGTTTAAAAAGCAGGGGAAGATGATTTGAGAGTTACCCCCTTTCATAGCGTACCTTCCCCAGCCCCTACAAAAAACCAGCTATGGCTGTGTCCTCCCCACCCCCAGCAGATCTGAATCTCTTTCCTGCCCCTGAGCTTCTTGGTTACTCAGCGGTGATGGGAAAGATTCCTCCCTTAATTACTTTTCATTTCCCTTGCCTGCTTTCTCTTTCACTTGTGACCAAAGCAGCAGTAACTCGCTGCCCAACAGAGATCGCTCCAGGTATCGGGGAAGGCGGCAAAGATGGCGCGCATGGGTAAGGGGGGGCTGGAACACTTTGCACTGTGGGGTTGCTGAGAGCCATTGAACCAAACAGCAAGCCCTGCATCCAATGGGAACCACTTCCAGCCCAGGGGTGCGGCAGCCTCTCTCCTTCCAGCACCTCTGCGCATGGGTGTGCAGCCGTGAGCCTCAAGCGTGCGAGCGAAATCCCGCCAGCGTGCGCGATGTGGGAGGGAAGCTTGCCAGCTGGTGTAGAGGAGCGTGAGAGAGCGCGTGTGTGTGTCTGGGTGCAAAGAGTGCGACAGTGTGTGTGACCAGCTGTACGAATGTGCGTGCGTGAGCCTGAGTGTGCACACCGGCACATGCTGCAGGGTAGCAGTGAGCATGCCGGCGTGTAAGGCTGGGAGCGGGTGCGTGTGAAAGGAGCGTGCATCAGGGTGCATAACACTGAGTGTGAACGTGCAACACTGTGCTCCTGAGCGTGCACACGGGCCTGTGACCCGCATCCCGTGTGAAGTGCGAGTCTGACTGTGCGATGTTGTGAGAACAAGTGGCGAAACTGTTAACCCCTTCCTCTCTGCTCTGCGAACCGCAATGCAAACACTCAACTTCCCAAATGGAGGGCACCAGAGCAGGCCTGGGAGCCAGCCGAACCTCCCTGCGTCCGCTCCAGCCAGCCAGGAAGATGTTTGCAAACAATAAACTACCGTTACCTGGCTGGCAAAGCCCCAGCTCCCTGCTGTGAGCCTTCACAGAGATCAGCCTGCAAGCCCAGACTCCCTGCCCCTCCCTCTCACCCCACACAGAGTCATCCCAAGCAGCCAGATGTTGCATTTGCTTCCCTGAGCCCGAAGTAGAGCTGATGGGGGTGGGAGGGGAAGGGTCGGTCCAGCTGATCCCTCTAGTGTGTAGAGAGTGGGGTGAACACACACAATGGGAGCAGGATGGGGGAGGGGCATGCTTGCCATACTTGGGGGGAAGGGTCACGTGAATGGGCCAGGGTGTGGCGGGGGCTGCATGTGCAGCTGTATTAGCTTTACAAGTCACATATGCAGAGTGGTCAGAACGCAGGGGGGGGGGGGGCAGCCACAGAGGCGGGGATTGCAATGGGATGGGGGGGACAATGATGCAATGGGAATGGGGGGTGGGGATCAGGGTTGGAGTGTCTCACAGACACAACAGAGTCCCGGGAGTTAGGCTGCGAGGGTCACAGATGCAATGGGGTCACAGGTCTTAGGATGCAGGAGGTCAGAATATGGAGGACCCAGAGGTGCCCTGGGATCAGGATGGGGGAAGATCACAATTAGAGGGGTCACAGATTCAGAGTGTCAGTAAGCAATGGGGGGACAGACACAATGGGATCAGGGAGTTAGGGGTGTGGGGGTCATGTAGGCAGGGGTCAGCACACAGAGGTTGGAGGATCACAGATACAATTGGTTGCGGTGGGGTGTCATGGATGCAGGGTGTTAGGATGGGGGAGTCATGGATACAATGGATAGGATGGGGGGATGTTATAGATGCAGGGTGTTAGGATGCTATGAAGCAGTTGGCCCGAGATCAGAATGTGGGGCGGGGGGGGTCACAGATGCAGGGAGCTGGGGGTCAGGGTGGGGACCAGAGATGCAATAGAACGAGGGGATTAGGATTGGGCAGATGGTACAGATGCAGGGAACCAGGCAGGTCACAGATACATTGGGACCAGGGGCTGGGGGTGGAAGGGTTGGTATACAATGTGGTCTGGGGAAATTAGGGTGCACATGTGGGGTCATAGATACAGGGGGCCAGTATACAATGGGGTCCAGGGAGATGGGGGGGGTCAGAGATGCAGAAGCTGGGGGGTGAGGGCAGGGATCAAACATGCAATGGGATCAAGTGGCTAGTGGTGGGGGTCACATATGCAGGGATCAGTATGAAATGGGGCATCACAGATGCAATGGAACCAAGCATTGAAGTGTGTGTGGGGGGGTCAGTACGCAATAGAGTCTGGGGACTCGGGGAGGTTGGGGTGTGGAGGACTCACGGATATAGGGGGCTGGGGGTGGGGATCAGGGCAGGAAGGGAGCAGGGGTGCAATGGGGCCAGGGGAGGGTCAGGATGGGGGGTCCGGGCACAGAGGAACTAGGGATGCAGTGGGGCCTCGGGGAGGGTTGGGATGGGGGGGTTCCAGATGCAGGGGCAAGGGAGGGGAGGGACCAGGGGTGCAATGGGGCCGAGGGAGGGTCAGGATGGGGGTCTGGGCAGGGAGGGAGTGGGGGTGCAATGGGTCCTGGGGGGGGTCGGGGCTGAGGGGGTCCGGGCAGGGAGGGACTCGGGGTGCAATGGGGCTGGAGGAGGGTCGGGGTGCGGAGTCCAGGCAGGGAGGGACCCGGGGTGCAATGGGGTTGGGGGGACCAGGGAGGGAGGGACCCGGGGTGCAATGGGGTTGGGGGGGTCAGGCAGGGAGGGAGCGGGGGTGCAATGGGGCTGGAGGGGTCGGGCTGGGGGGCTGGGCGGGGAGGGACCCAGGGTGCAATGGGGCCGGGAGGGTTGGGATGGGGGGGTCCAGGCAGCGAGCAAAGGACCAGGGGTGCAATGGGGCTGGGGGGGTTGGGCTGGGGGGTCCGGGCAGGGAGGTAGCAGGGGTGCAGTGGGGCCGGGGGGGTTCAGGATCGGGAGGTCCAGGCAGCGAGCGAGGGACCAGGGGAGCAATGGGGCAGGGGGGAAGGACCTGGGGTGCAATGGGGCCGGGGCAGGGGGCGTCCTGGGGGGTCCGGGCGGGGAGGTAGCGGGGGTGCAATGGGGCTGGGGGGAGGGAGTCCAGGCAGCGAGCCAGGGACCCGGGGTGCAATGGGGTGGGGGGGAGGGCGGGCTGGGGGGTCCGGGCGGGGAGGTAGCAAAGGTGCAATGGGGCTGGGGGGGAGGCAGCGAAGGTGCAATGGGGCTGGGGGGTGTCGGGATGCGGGGGTCCAGGCAGCGAGCGAGGGACCCGGGGTGCAATGGGGCCGGGGGGGGGAGGCAGCGAAGGTGCAATGGGGCCGGGGGGGGTGTCGGGATGCGGGGGTCTAGGCAGGGGTGCAATGGGGCCGGGGGGGGGCGATCGGGAGTCCAGGCAGCGAGCGAGGCGGGGGATGGGGCAGCAGCGGCGAGGGACCCGGGGTGCAATGGGGCCGGGGGGGTGTCGGGATGCGGGGGTCCAGGCAGCGAGCGAGGGACCCGGGGTGCAATGGGGCCGGGGGGGGAGGCAGCGAAGGTGCAATGGGGCTGGGGGGGGTGTCGGGATGCGGGGGTCCAGGCAGCGAGCGAGGGACCCGGGGTGCAATGGGGCCGGGGGGGTGTCGGGATGCGGGGGTCTAGGCAGGGGTGCAATGGGGCGGGGGCCGGGCTGGGGGGCGCGGGGGCCGGTACAGCCCGTGTTGCTCGGACCCGCCCGGAGGAGACAGCCCCGCCCCCTCCCCCCGTGGGACCCCCCAGCGCGGGGGCGGGGGCCCGACCCCCGGCCGCAGGCGCCCAGCGCGGCGGAGCCGACTCACCGCAGCCCGGCGGGCTCCATGCTCGGCGCGGCCGGATCCCCCCGAGCAGCGCCGGGGTGGGGGTGGGGCGGCTCCTTCGCCCCCCACCGGGAATGGCTCCGCCGCTTCCCTTTTCCTGCCGCCCCTTTCTTCCGCTCGCACTAGCCCCCGCCGGCCGCACCACGTGGCCCCCCGCCGGGCCGGGCCGAGCCGAGCCGAGCCGGGCCGGGCCGGGCCGGCTGGATCCCAGCCCGGCGCATCCCCACCCAGCCCGGCACCGCTCGCCCGCGGGCTCACCCCTTCGCCCGGCTCCCCGCCTGGCCGGGGCTCGCCTGGGCCATGCCGGCTCCTGCCCGGCGAGCAAATAAACAAACCAGACACAGGGCGAGAGGGCCAGAGCCGCCCTGGTCCTTTCCAAGAGGGTCGGATCCTGTCCCCTTATCCCCCCCCCTCAATCTCTGCCCCCCCCCTTTAAATGCAGCGATGTGTTTTTAAGGGAAGAGGAGGAGCTGGGGAAATAAACCTCCCCACGCCTCTCCTCTCCTCTCCCCCCAGCTGGCCGCCGCCTCTGCTGCTCATCCCACAACTTCCCAGAGAGGAGCGGCAGGTTCAATCTCCTCCGTGGTTATTTGTCTGGTGTCTGCCTCCCCCCCCCAGTCTAAAAGTCAAGAGGCGACTGACCTCGGCCGGCCAGAGCCCACTGAGTTAGCCACAGTTTCCCTCCCTCCCCTCCCCTCCCCTCCCAAAGCTTAGGCTCAAACAAATTTGTGAGTCTGGAAGGTGCCACAAGTCCTCCTGTTCTTTCTGCTTCGTTTTTGGGGGGCCCAGATCTGAGACCCTCCCTTCGGGCGCCCAATGTTCAGAGGCCTGGAGCCCTCGCCTGTCCCTGCTGAAAACCAGGCCTCTTTAAGAAGGCTCAGGCCAGCCCCAAGACGACAGTCACTTTTGAAAACCCTAGGCCTGTGAGTCCCCCCCCCCCCACCCCCGTCTGTGAAATTTTTCCTCCTTCACAAAGCTGCAGGGAGCCCTCAGGAGGGGATGTTTGCAAGTCGCTTGGCTAGGGGAAGTCCTGTGTAAACACTACCTCTGCCTGTGGTTATAATTGATTCGTTTAAGGTGATCAGCAGTTTCAGGACCTTGGTGTCGTTTCCTCCCCCTGCCAGTGCTGGAAATTTTACACACGAATCAAATTTAGTTCATTCCTTTTGGAGCTTGGCCTCTGCCCTTAGGTTTATGCTGATGTCCTAGATGCGTAACGGTGGGATTGTGAAAAGTGTCTAAGTAATTCAGGGGCATTTAAAGTGCCCACTGGAGAGGTTTTCCACACTGATCATTTCCAGGCCTAAGGTTTGACTGAGATTTTTTTGGTTTAGGGGTGTTTGCTTGAAATGGGATTCTGTATACCCAAGGGGAAAAACTGAGTCTGCCAGTCTCTCCCCCCCTTGATAAAACACACACTCTGTGCATGGAGCGAAGCAGAGACGGAGAACTGAATCCCCCCCACATCCCACCAACCTACACCCAGAGCCACACTGTAACTGCTATGCCAGCCTTCCAGCGGGAGTCTGTAACTCCTGGGCATGCCTGGTGCAGAGTTTATGGCCACTGAGTCTAAGCATTGATGCAACAACCGACTCTCAACACCCCCCTCCAGCCAACCTCACTGGAGCTTAGGATGGCATGATCACTTTACCTGTGTGCCCATCGTGGGCAAGAGGTCTCCATGAGGGGGACCGTGGGTGGTACTTCCTCCAAAGGATGTATTTCATGCTAGCATCTACAACCCCCAGCATGCTCCCCAGTTCACTAGTCACGCAGCCCTGACTGACACGATGGGAAGTGTTTTGTTTTGTTGGAGAGCTCCTGCAAACTGATTTATTCCTTCTCAAGTCTTCTCAAGAAAGCCGTAGGAGTAGATTACTTCCATATTATGTATGAAAGATCAAAATAAAATTGAGACATTTTAAATAGAACAGTGGGAGAGAAAAAAAAAACAAAAAACCAAACCCCATTAAATACATGCAATGGGGCGTGGGATTTTTTTTTCCCCAGTGAGAACATATTATTCTTTAAATATCTCTCTATTTTGAGGCTTCCATTATGGAATTACATTATTTTTTCAGTTAGCTGCCCAGGGGCTTTATTAATAACTGTTAGCCTTTCTCTGGTGAAGCTGTCACTGCGGGTTTTCATATAGCCGTGTATGTTAACGGGGGTTGATGCAGGGCCTGAATGTGTCCTTTTAACAAACGCATCGTTGTCGGTGTCAAGAGGTCTGTAGAGTTGATGGTTGTTGGTTTTCTGAGGTCACACCCAGAGGCCCCAGTTGAGGTGTCCAGTTGTGGGGACGCACACACAGCCAGTAAGAGACATTGTCCTCCAATGATCAGAGGGGTAGCTGTGTTAGTCTGTATCCACAAAAACAACAAGGAGTCCGGTGGCAAATAAATCTGTTAGTCTGTCACCGGACTCCTCATCGGTTTTGTCCTTCCATGGAAAGTCGGAGCCGAAGAACCTTTCAAGGTCTGGGCCTTACAGTCTAAAATGGACAAAACAGACCAAAGAGTGGGAGAAAGGAAGCCTCATGAACCCCATTTCGCAGATGGAGCACTGAAACCCAGAGAGATTTGAAACTGACCTGGGGATTTGGGGTGCCCCAAACCTGGGTGTCCAGAGAGCAGATGCTCAGTGCTTTGAAAACCAGGCTGCTTTAAGGAGGCTCCAGTTGCCCTTCCAAAATCAAAAGACTTTTCGAAATCTTGACCACGATCACACAGGATGTTTGTGACCGAGGCAGGAATTGAACCTACATCTCAGAGGTCACTGCCTTCACCGGAAAGCCTTTCTTCCTAGAGTAGGGAGAATGGAAAAAGAAGTAAACATGTGTGGTTGATTGGAAAACCAAACTGTGTTTCTATGTAAATACCCGAGATGAATGCTGCAAATAATACATGAATCTTCACCATATTTCATCTCTGTGGGCTCTTATCTCCCTTTTACAGATAGGGAAACTGAGTCAGAGTGATGTGACTTCACCCTCAGTGGCACAGCTGGGCCACGTACTCAGGAGATCCTGGGTAGTCCTTTAGTGTCTGATTTTGTGCTAGTGTAACCAACAGGAATAGGGATATTAAAGTCAGCTACTCAGTGACTTTTCTCTCAGTCATATTTTTCACTTGTTGAATGAGTTGTCTCTGCATGCCCACAAAGGGGAAATTCACTGATAGCTGAAAGAGATCTTGTCTCCGTGGCAGATCGCTGTGTGCTCTCACCCTTCCAGCTCCCACAGGCTGTGCTACGTCGTTACTTAGGTGGGCCCCTAAGAAGCAGTGCTGGTCATTCAGTAGGCGACAGTCTTCCCTCTAGGTAAGAGTTTAACCAATGTCCCAGCCCAGGGTTAAGAGGGATGGTGGGTCTTGTATGGTGCAATAAAAGAAATCCTACTATGACACTTTTCACTAATAATAGGAATACCTAGCTCTTATTTTTATCCCTAGATCTCAAAGCTCTTTCCAAAGCAGGTCAGTATTATTACCCTATTTTACAGATGGGGAAACTGAGGCACAAGGGGAGACATGACTTACCCATGGTCATGCAGCAAGCCACTGACAGAGCTAGGAAAGGAATCCAGGTCTCCTGAGTCCCCATCTAATGCCCTATCCACTAGGCAATACTGCCATCCCCTGCTGTTCAGGCCAAACCCCTCCTTGGGTAATTCCATTCGCATCCACTCCTTCTGCAGTTTCACTTGGTTATGCTCCTCTTCATTTCCTGCTCTAAGCAGTTGCGTAACATTGCTGGAAGCAGTTACACAGCTTCCACGTTCTGCCCCAGAGGTGGCTGCTTTTCAGGCGTGGGGGATGTGATCCCTGTGTATAGTGCACAAAGTGCTATGGCGATGAAAGATGCTAAAGTATTTCTGATGGTCAATAGACTTCATAATGTCTAGCTCTTGGGAAAGTGCTTTGACATTGTCATAGTAACTCACTCCAGTCAATTATATATTTTTTTCAAAGAGTGTCCCCTACTTCACCATTGCAAGCAGCATAATTTGCCCTGCCACTGCATATCGTGAACTGTGTTTTCATGTTTCATCACCCAACAGCGAAGATGAAACTAGCCTGACAGTTTTTCATTTATTAGCCACTGAACACTGACAATGTGACAAAGTAACTGCCCCAGCAAGCTTACGCTCTGAGGGCCTGAGTCTGTAAATCTTTGCTTGCCCAGTCCTTACCTCTAAAAGCAGACAAGAGGGACGATTACTCAGGTGAGTAAAGGTTAGTAGGGTGTGTGTGTGTTTGTTCAGGTTAGGGTAGATATGAGTGTGTGTTCATGTTAATAAACTTTAGCAGCAAATGCATTCATTTCCCTTTTTGTTTGTGCTTAACTCTTAAGCACCCTGTCAAGTGGGCTCAATTATTACAGGTTTCAGAGTAACAGCCGTGTTAGTCTGTATTCTCAAAAAGAAAAGGAGTACTTAAGAGACTAACCAATCTATTTGAGCAATAAATTGGTTCGTCTCTAAGGTGCCACACGTACTCCTTTTCAATTATTACAGTGATTGTGCACTGCAGAGAGATAGATATTGGGTGATATTCCATAGATAGATCGATAGCCCTGATTCTAGAGAAGCAGAGTTTCACTAAAGCAGAATTAAAATGCACAAGCCAGGCTTGTAAATATGCCTTGGCGTTTGGGACTTAACAAGAAAACCCAACCTCGCTCCTCTACCGCAAATAGGGCTATGGAAAAAAACAAAAAACCAAGAGGCAGAATTTCAGGATTTGTTCACGCTCGCAGACTGCCGCAGAATACTTTGAAGTGCAAATTGAGGCCTTCTATCAGGTCTGAAGTTAATTTCGATGCAAAGAAAAAACTCAGCACGGCCTCTGTCTGTGCATGTTGGGGGGGGGGGAGAAGCAGGTGTCACGGCATCTGAATTCAGCGTCTGGAGTCAGCTGGGAACTGACGTCCTTGCAAGAATTAGCACAGGAGGGGAAAAGAGCGAGACACTTGGAAACCTGAGTCCAGCCCCAGAACGAGCATTAAGGGATAGCACATTTGGACGCTCCCGGACTGAAATATGAAACTTAACCTTGCTTTTGTAAGTGGGTTAAAATCTTATAACGTTCCACTGAGAAGATTCCATGCTGTAGACTAGTCTGATGGGCTCAGTAGAAATGCA